GTCGTAGTAGTAGTAGTAGCCAGCAAGCAGCAGCAGCTAGCAGCAGTAGTAGTAGTAGTTAGTAGTATGTAGTTAGTAGTAGTAGTGAGTATTAGTAGTAGTAGTAGTAGTAGTAGTTAGTAGTGTAGTAGTAGTAGTAGTAGTAGTAGTAGTAGTATAGTAGTAGTAGAGTGTAGTAGAAGTAGAAGTAGAAGTAGAAGTAGAAGTAGAAGTAGTAGTAGTAGTAGTAGTAGTAGTAGTAGTAGTAGTAGCAGTAGTAGTATTAGTAGTCGTATGTAGTAGTATGTAGTAGTATGTAGTAGTATGTAGTAGTATGTAGTAGTATGTAGTAGTATGTAGTAGTATGTAGTAGTATGTAGTAGTATGTAGTAGTATGTAGTATGTAGTAGTATGTAGTAGTATGTAGTAGTATGTAGTAGTATGTAGTAGTATGTAGTAGTATGTAGTAGTATGTAGTAGTATGTAGTAGTATGTAGTAGTATGTAGTAGTATGTAGTAGTCGCAGTCGTAGTCGTAATCGTAGTCGTCGCCGTACTCGTAACCGTAGTAGTATCCGTACTCGTAGTGGCAGCAGGCGTTTCTTGGCCCCTGGGGCTCTCCCCGGGACCTGCTTCTCATCCCCAGAGTCGTTTCTGGACAGCCCCCCAGGTGGGAGTTTGGGGGAGTGGGAGGAGGGGGAGGAGAAGTAGGAGGAGGAAGAGGAGGAGGAGGAGGAGGAGGAGGAGGAGGAGGAGGAGGAAGAGGAGGAGGGAGGAGGAGCAGGAGGAGGAGGAGGAGGAGGGGGAGGAGGAGGCGGAGGAGGAGGAGGAGGAGGAGGAGGAGTAGGAGTAGGAGGAGGAGGAGGAGCAGGGGGAGGAAGAGAAAGAGAAGGAGGAGGAGCAGGAGGCAAAGAAGGCCAAGGCCACCATGGACTGATCCAGACGAAGCCGTGCAAACGCCAGGAGGGGGAATTGGGGAAGGAGGGATGGGTGCGAAAGGGGAGGGAAGAAGATGGGAGCAGCATGAGGAGCCTGAGTCTTCCCTCCGCATTTCTTCCTCCCCTCCTCCTTCCAGCCTCCCCTTCTAGCCTCCGGTCTCATAATTCCTCCCCCTGCTCCCCTCTTCTCCTTCGGCCTGAGGGGAAGGTCTCCGCTCAGAAGGGCGTCCTGGCCCCTGGGGCTCTTCCCAGGACCTGCGTTGCTCCCGAGAGTCGTTTTCGGAGAGCCCCCCAGGTGGGAGTTCGGGGGAGGAGGAGGAGGAGGAGGAGGAGGAGGAGGAGGAGGAGGAGGAGGAGGAGGGGGCAGGCGAGGAAGACTTGTGGACCATCGTGTCTGCTGGTCCACGAACGGGTGCGCAGAGTACTGATGATTGCTCGTCGCCGGATGATGTCTTCCAGGGCCAGCACAGCCACCTCTCGAGGTAGTGGCTGGATGCCTCGGGCCCTCTCCAGGAGGCCCACCAAGCGGCCCTCAGGAGCCGCTCTGTGGCCTCGTGGCGCGCATACCAGAACCTAGCCCCCGAGAGGCTGCGCTCCTACCGGCCCCGGTGGTTCGGAGGCCGGGGCATGAGGGGAGGGAGGAGAGCATAGTTCTCCTCGGGTCTTGAGCCAGCAGGGTTCTGAGGCTGCGCCCCCCCCCTTTTCCTCCCCCATCCCTGGTTCATTCAAGCTTCGCGCGGCCTGCTTCGCTTCGACCGGGAGAGGTGCGCTCTCGACCCGCGGATCAACAAATCGTGTCTTGAGCCAACATGGCTCGGGAGCTCTCTCTTGGCGAAAGCTGGAGCCCAGGAGGCGGGGCCGCTCAACCTGGGCACCAGAGTCCGTGGGAGGCGGGCGAGGGTCGCGCCAGCCTCCCAATTGCTCCATCAATCATTCTACAGTGCCGTTTTTAATACATGCTCCGCGTGCGGATCATGTATCAAAAATGTAGCGATTGAGTATTAAAAACAATGCATACATGTATTCATACATTGATCATGAAAAAACAATTCTTATATTTTAACATCCCATGTATAAAAAAAACTGCCCTGTAAGCTCGCTTCTTTCCGTCCTTCGTCTGCTGACGGGCGCGCAGACCGTCACGCCAAGAACTGCAGACGACGCACGCTGTGTGAACCTCCATCCCCACGAAATCAATCCACTCAAAATGGTCCATCCGGGTTGTCCGGGGCACAGTCGGCCCACGGGGCCAGGGGGAAAAACACGACATGGTATCACGGAACCAGCCGGTGACCTTGAAAGCCTTCCGGGGGCCTCCCGAAGGTCACCAACAGCTGGCCAGGTGAACTTCACCGCGTTATATAATCACGCGCACTGTCTGCGGAGCTAACCTTCTAATGCTTCCAGGCTGGTTTCATGGCACCAACATTTCAGAGCGGATTTCGTTCATAAAATAATAGACTGGGCCCAGAGTGTCCTGGAGAATATCGTTCCAGATTTCGAAGTGAATTTCATGCGGATTTTTTTGGGGCCAGGCAGGAACGAAGATTACAACTAATCCACGTGACATTCATTACGTTTCTCGCTCGCCGTTTTGGGGTTTTGCATTGGCAGAAGTCCGCGCGAAAATTCGCTGCAGCACGTCCAGCTGTGCAACCGTCCCCCCCCGCACACGGAAGAGGGGGCAGGAGGGGAGGGAGGAGGAGGGGGAGGACCAGCGGCGGAGGGACCCAGAGGCAGGTCTAATTCTCGTCGATACCCTCGTCCCCCGTTCGTTTTCCTCTCTCCCCTACTCCTCCTCTTCCTCCTCCTCCTCCTCTTTCTCCTGCTTCTCCTCTCCTCCTGTCTCGCCTTGCCTCCTCCGATCATCCACCCTCCCCGCGGCTATCTTTCTTCTCCCTCCTCCCCCCTCCTCCCCTCTCCTCCTCCCTCTCTCTGGAGGTTCCCGGAGGCCTCCGGAGCCGTACAGCAGGCCAATGACGTCCCCCAAATCTTTGAGCCTCAGTTCTCGAGCCGCGATCTTCCACGACGGCGACGACGGTGGCGGCCGCGGCTTTGGCGGCTGCGGCGACAGCGGCGACGACGGTGGAGACAGCCACGGCGACGACGACGATAGGGGAAAAAAACACTGTGGGAAAAAAACAAAAAATACACGTGTGTGTGTGTTTTTCCCACAGACGTGTGTGTGTGTGTGTGTTTTTGTTTGTTTTTTGTTGTGTCTGTTTTTTTTCCCGCGGCCGCGGCGTCGGCGGCTGCGGCGATGGCGGCGGCGGTGACGGCGGCGGCGCTCCGGCGGCAGGCGCAGCGCAGGCCTCCCGCCGCCAGCGACGACCCCGCCCGGGTGCTCTTCAAGAAGACCACGCTGTGCCGGTTCTTCTCCTCGAGGAGACCTCCCTGCTTCTCTCGACTAGACGCAAGAGTGACCTTTCGCCGCAGTGACCTTTGGTGCGGATACAGATGGGTCCCCAGATGGCTGAAAACAAAGCAGGATCAGCAGCTTGCGCGCCCGGGTTTGGTCGCCCCTGGCCCCCAGAAAGCCGCGCACCAAAGGTCACTCTTACCCAGGGTCACTCTTGCGTGTAGCCGCTTCTCCTCTCCGCGAGGAAGCTTTCCTGCTCTCCCGTCCCCGTCGCCGTCCTCGTCCTCGTCCCGTCTCTCCCCCCCCCTCCTCCTCCTCCTCCTCCTCCTCCTCGTCCTCCTCCTCCTCCTCCTCCTCCTCCTCCTCCTCCTCGGCGTCGCCATCATCGTCCGTTCTCCTCCCTCTTGGGCGGCCACAGGTCAAAGACGAAACAACGACACAAACATGGTGAAACTTTCGGCGGTCCGCGCGGCCCCCAAGAGGCGCCGGAGCCCACTGGCGGCGCCTCCGACGCCGCCCCCTGCCGCTCTCCGCGCGCAGGAGGGGGGGATCCAGCGCCGGTCAGACAAAAATCCGTGTGGGGAGGAGGGAGAAGGACGAGGAGGCGACGAGAAGGGAAAGGAAGGCCAGAGTAGGCCGTATTGGTGTCAGCGATGCTGTGGTGCGCCCGCCCGTTCCGAGTCCTCTCTTTGTAGGCCGCTGCGAGACATCTTTTTCAGTGTGGGGGGTGCCCCCTTGAAAAACGAGCGACCCGTGGGCTTGCACTAGAGGCGACAGCCCCGTTTTGAAAAGGAGTTGCTATCCATGCTTCTGTTCCAAAATCAGTTGCATTGAAGGGGTCCTATTGGATCTTGAAGGTTTTGGGCGAAAGTGGGCGGCCGATTTCGGTAGGCCGCCGGGTTCCGGGATTCCCGGTTCCGGGTTCCCGGGTTCCCGGTTGCTGGTTCTGGGCCGATTTCGGTGGGCGGCGGGGTTTCCGGGTTTTTGGTCAATCTCCTTATCGATCGGCCTCGCCATCGATCTCACTTCCCACCTCTCTCGATCTCACAATCGATCTCACTATGTATAGATCGCACGAGCGATCTCACGATCGATCTCACTATGGACCTCACTGAATCGACTTCACTAACCTCATGCCCGTGAGAATAATCACTAGGGGATAATAAAGTTCGGGGTTCAGGGAGAGATAATAAAAGTAGCCCAGCAGACCTCAGCATAATCTCGAAGTAAGAGATGATCAAGAGGAGACCAAGCCGAGCACGTTTTGAGACATCCTTGGCGTTTAGTTTTCATAGAAATATCCTCAACAATGGCTTATCTCTCATGAAAATTGTTTTTTGTAAGTGCTCGTGTAGGGTAGCTCATGTGCCTCAATTTCCATGGAAAATCATCCCCAGAGATAAAAAAGTTCAGGCGAGCGTGGGGACAGAGAGAAATATAAAAGAAGAATAATACAGTAGAATAATAATAAGAAAGAAGAAGAAGAGAATAATAAGAAGAGGACGAAGAAAGGATAAATCCAAAGTTCCAAATCTATCAATTTTAATTTACAAACGCTTTATGAAAATTGTTTTTTTTTAAGTGATCGTGTAGGGTAGCTCATGTGCTTCATTTTCCATGGATAATCAACCCCAGGGATAAAAAAGTTCAGGCGAGCGTGAGGACAGATAGAAATATAAAAGAAGAAGAGGAAAGTAGAAGAATAATAAGAACATTGCTCGTTTCGTTTGAGTCTGCCTCCCAAAATTATTGGTTTCGCTTGACACATCCTGAAAAAGTGTGATCGCTTCGCTTGATGTTGCTATATCAACATCGCTTGATGTTGCTATCTCAACATAGCGTTTCGAGGTGATAATGAAGTTCGGCCTCAGCGCTCGCCGCCCAATTTGAATTTTGTATAGGGCGACGATAATGAACTCTAAACACTGAAGGGGGGGGGGTCCCTTTATTATCATCGGCATGCGGTTATCGGTTTCACGATCGACCCTATTGCCGTCCTCCCTATCGTCCTCACCATGGATTCCACTATCGATCCCACTATCGATCTCAATATCCGTGCCACTGATTTTCAAACCATCCACTCTTTGGGTTTTCTCAGGTGTGTAATATATATATATGTATATATATATATATGTGTATATGTTAATATACATATGTGTGTGTATGTATGTATGCATGCATGCATGCATGCATGCATGCATGTATGTATGCATGTATGCATGTATGCATGTATGCATGTATGTATGTATGTATGTATGTATGTATGTAGGTATGTATGTATGTATGTATGTATGTATGTATGTATGTATGTATGCATCTATACATATATGTGTATATACTTATATATACATATACATATACAAATACATATACATATATATATATATATATATTATATATATATATATATATATATATATATATATATATATATATATATATTATGTATATATATATATATATATATATATATATATATATCCCAGGGGACGAGGCCCGGGGGCCCAGGACCGCGACCTCGACAGCGCATGGGGGGACCGGGCGTCGGTTTCCTTTTATTTTTACAGGGTTTCAGCGTTCTGGGGCCAACAGGGCCTCAAGAGGCTGCAGGGAGGCCCCAGGAGGCCGCAGCGATGGCTCCAGACGCTTTTCAAGACGACTCCCATGACGCCAAGAAGGCCCCCGAAGGCCCCGAAGACGCCCCAAGAGGCACACCGAGGGAGCTCAATAAGCAAAAATCGACGATATCCTATGGGACAACTGATACTTTTGGCGTGTTTGCCTTTTGGGCGTCCACTGCATCCAAGACGGCCCAAGAGGCACCCAAGCCGGTCGAGGATGCCCCCAAGAGGGCCCCAAGACGGCCCACGAGGGGGCCAAGACGGCCCACGAGGCGCCCAAACCGCCCAAGCACGCCCCAAGGCGGCGCCCAAGACGGGGACGAGGAACCGGAAATTCGGGCCTTCGGGCCCAAGAGACCCCTAGGAGACCCCAAGAGGCTCCAAGAAGGGGCCCAGAAGCCCCAAGAGGCCCCCATGAGACCCGAAAAAACGGCAAAAGAGGCTCCGAAGACGCCCCAAGAGGCACCCCGAGAGTGGCCCAATAAGCAAAAATCGTCGATTTCCGATGGGAAACTTATATTTTTGGTGTGTTTGCCTTTTGGGCGTCCACTGCATCCAAGACGGCCCAAGAGGCACCCAAGCCGGTCGAGGATGCCCCCAAGAGGGCCCCAAGACGGCCCACGAGGGGGCCAAGACGGCCCACGAGACGCCTAAACCGCCCAAGAACGCCCCCCAGGAGCCCAAGAGGCCTTTCCGGGGAGCCTCCACAGCGTCCTTGCAATGTTTTTGGCTTCTCGCGTTTTCGAGCTTCCAATGGTCCAAGAGCGCCGAAGAGGCTCCCAAGACCGCCCCAAGGCCACCCATGAGACCCTCAGGACGGCCCCAAGACGAGCCAAGAAGGCTCCAAGATTGCCGAAGAGGCGCCCAGGACAGCCCCAGACTACCCCAGAACAGGCCCAAAATGGGCCCGAGAGCGGGAGCAGGAGGTTTCCAGCGACCTCCGAGAGGCCTCTGGGACCCCCCAGAGGCCCCCAACACCCCCCCGATCCTTGAGAGGCCCCCAAAAGATCCCGACGAGGCCCCAAGAACAGTCCAAGAGAGCTGCGATAGCCGTCCCGAGAGAGCCCAAAGAGGGTCAAATCGTTGATTTCCAATGTTTTTGTTTTAGATTTTTTTCGCCTTCTGACGTTTTCCCGCTTCCAACCCTCGAAGATCTTTTTCTGGGGAAAAAAAGGAATTCCCGGAATTCCCGTTATTTTTTCAAAGTGGGACTCCGACTCGGAGATCCCGCACATCCCCTGACATCTGGCCGGTACCGCGTCTCCCGGCTTCCCGGGGTGCCCCCAAGACGCCCGGCCTGTCTTTTTACAGGAGGATATTCAAAAATTAGCCTTGGGAGTTTTTTTCGGCCATTTTTGGGTATTTTAGATTTTTGTTGTTGTTGGTATTTTTCATTTTTCGTCCAAATCGGCCAGTAGGGGGACAGGCCCGACTCAAGATTCAGGGGGCGTGGATTAGCGACGGGCCCCAGTTCCACCGGAAATCGCGGACCTCCGCCGCCGAGCGAGGCGGCACCAGCCGCATTTTGGGGAGGGCACCTCCCCCGACCCACGGACCTGGCGACCGCGCGCCAGATCCGTGGACCGCTAGTCCAGATTTCGCAACAAAAGGGAGGGGGTCTCAACCCCCCCAGATGAGAAGTTTTATAGACCCTCCCAGACCATCCATGAAAGGGCGGCACGTTGCCCAGACCCCCCCGAACCCTCCAAGACAGCTCAAATCAGACCCCCCCCAAAATGTGACCCCCCCCCGACTTTCTTGTGGAATCCGGAGTAGTCCATGGCTGCGCGCCCCCGAGACAAGGACGGTCCACTTTCCGTCGCCGCAGCCGCCGCCCTCGCCGCCGCCAAAGGCCGCCCACGGGCCGCCCCCGCGGGCCCGTCGAGGGGCCCGCCGCGCGCCCGCAGGCCGCCGGGCGGCCGCCGAGGGCTGCCGCAGGGGCCTCCGACGGGCGAGGCCGAGGCTGCCGGGGTGCAGTCGGGGCGTTGACCTAAGGAACCCTAGAGAAGGAGCGAGGCCCCTTTTTTCCATGAGTCAACCTTCGATTTCTTGTCGAAAACATGAGGGAAGCCTGAGGCAAGCTGTGACACACTTCGGGAACGCGGCGCCCCTCCCCAACGAAGAGGGTTCCTTCTTCAGGGCCCCGACTGTATGATATTCCAGCCTGCTTTCGCCTCGATCGCCAGGAAGAATCTCGGGCACCAGGGAAGTAGCGGCACATTTTTTTTTTTTTTTTTTTGTTCTAGGGTCGGGCCCTGGGAGGCGACACTGCTTCGACACTGTCTCGGCACCTCGCTGGGTGCTCGAGAGTATTTCCGGGGTGCGGCCCTCAAGCACGATGGGAGCAACATGAGCCCAAGGATGTGGCTGGGATCGCTGGGCGGCTGGGATCGCTGCCCCCTGTTCCAAAGGTCTGCCGCAGGAGCAGCTACTGATCAAATCACACGCGGTACGATCACGACGCGGCATCATGCGAATGCCATTTTCCTCGTGGGACCACTCCCGAGTCAGTGTGTTCCGTTTTCACCAATTTGCCACCTCGGCCACGGGTTGCGGCGTTCGCCCCTAGAGTCACCCTTTCGGCACCAGTGTGTATTGAATTGAGGCAACAACTCGGTGACATGTGGAAACAGAGAAAATTCATCGCCCTGCGTGGTTGCTGGGCGGGCTCCGTGGGTGCCTGCCACTGCAGCGCTTATACCGTTGCGGGTTTTCTGTCGATTGTCGCTCTGGGGGGGTTGTGGCAGCGGGGGGGATGGGGGCATCGCGTTTTCCACCCAGCGCCGCTCGGTCTGCTACTGATTTGTTTTCAAACGCTGCCGTTGGATGCGGTAAACTTAAACGCGACACCGCATATATGTACGTATGCCGAGTAGCCAACTTAGTTTGTGGGACCACTCCAGAGTTAGGGTGTTCCACCAACCTTCGCGCCACCCCAATCGCCTCTGTCACCTCTGCCACCTCTGCCGCCTCAGCCACCTCAGCCACCTCAGCCATCTTGGCCACCCTGGCCACCCCGGCCACAACCACCTTTGTCACCTCAGCGACCTCAGCCACCTCAGCCACCTCGGCCACTTCAGCCACCTCGGCCTCCTCGCGCCCGCGCCGAGGAGCGGCTGCGAGCGTGGGGCCGCGTGCCCTTTCGCGCACGGCAGGGGCGAGATGCGGAGCAAGCCAGACCTCAAGAAGACGTCCTTGTGCAAGCTGTGGGCCAAAGGCGGCGCCTGGGTCCCAAGACTGCTTGTCAGACGAGGAGAGGGTACCAATACTGCTACCCCTAGTCTCGCTGTTGCCTTTTTGTGCCTCCTGGGGAGCCCTCGTCCCCACGGCTGGATTCGCCTCGAAGTTTTGGTCAGAACGCATTCTGGGAGAGGTCCAGGGAGTAATTCCCCAGCGATGCGTTCCTGCTCCTCCTGCTCCTCCTGCTCCTCCTCCTCCTCCTCCTCCTCCTCCTCCTCCTCCTCCTCCCCCTCCTCCTACGCTCCTCCTCCTCTTTCTCCTCCTCCTCCTCCTCCTTCTCCCCTGTTCGGTTGGCCCGCTGTTTGCCAGCACCGTGCGACTGGATGCTTGTGTAGCTGCACCTCTTGACATGTTGGCGCTGTGGTGCCATTCTGCCGTGCCCGTGCGGCTCATGGCCGCAAGTCCGATGTCGGCGATGCAATCCGGAGTGGACTGCCTGGCGATGTCCATGTGGGTTCCCCCCTGGGGATGCTGTTCGTGGCCCTCCTTGCCGGAGGCTTGCGGGCACGCGGCCCCGTGAGGTGCCCCACGCCACGCGCAAAAGAAGCAGACTTCTAGCATTACTCAGGAGGGAAAGAAACACACAGACACAATTAATCGTCGACTCCCAGGAAAATATAGGAAAATATGGGAATTGGGGGGGGGGGAAGACAAAAAACCCATCAAATATGGGGAAATATGGGGAACCCTGTTATTTGTGTGTATTTATTTGTGTGTCCCTGGGCCCCTTCAATTACGCCACTTATGATGTAAGCATCTGATTGCCAAGGTCTTGGGGCCAGTGCCGCGGACCGTGAAGGCGGGACCTCCCACGGGACCTTCCAGGACCTCGGGGGGGCGGCGACTGTTTGGGCCGGGGACCCCCCCCCCGCCGGCCAGGGAGGGGATCAAATGGAAGGGGCTTCCCTTCGATTTTAACGACGATGTTCCTCAATTTCCTGGTTCGTCACTTTCCTTGGGACTGACGGCGACGAAGACGACGACTCAGCGTCTTTCACACGCCGAATGGTCGGCTGATTTTTGATCCTTGGGTGTCCCCCACGAGAAACGTGAGCTCGAAGAGGTTCAATGATGGGTGTCCCCCAGCGCAGCAGCCGCCTCAGTGCACGTTGGCGGGGGCCGCGCCCGCCGCCAGCCGCTCTGGGCGTGACTCGTCACCCTGAGCGGCCCTCCCCCCTGTTTTCCTCCCTCCCCGCGGCCGCCCGCTTTTTCGCATTACGGTGGCCAATTCGCTACAACGGTGCCCCCGTTTTGTTAGCTTCATCTGCCAGCGCAGACGACCCCTGCCTAGCCGTCGACGAAACAGTTTTTGGATGTCGTTCGATGTTTCGGTACCTCCCGGGGGCTTCCCGTTGAAATTCTAGGCCAGGCGCACCCACGAGACCTCCCTGCGCAAGCTGTGGGCCGAAGCTGACCTTTGAAGATCGTCCTCTTCGCCGTCGCTGTCGTCGTCGTCCTCCTCCTCCCTCTGCTCGGCTCCGTGCGGAGGAGGGGGGCAGGGGGCGTCGGAGCACCCAGACATCCGAGGTCGCTACTTCTTGAGTTCTTGGAGGCCAGTTTTTGACCCTTGGGCCGTCAAACAAACCTGCTCTAGATGAAAAGCTGGTCCCAGAGGAGGTTCAAGATGTCCAGGGACCCCGAACACATCGAGCCGCTGGATGTCTGGGTGTGAGGCTCAACTCGCGCAGCCCCCGGCATCCCTGAGCGCACGTGCCACCATGGCCGCTGGCGTGGCGAAGCCTTGACGGACTGAGCAAGGAAATGAGGAAAGAGAGGGGGAGAGGGGGAAGAGGAGGGAGGAGGAGGGAGGGAAGGAAGGAGGGGTGCCGACGGCGACCCGAGGATGAGGAGGAGGGGGAGGAGGAGGGGCATAGGGAGGAGGAGGAGGAGGAGGAGGAGGAGGAGGAGGAGGAGGAGGAGGAGGAGGAGGAGGAGGAGGAGGAGATGGAGGGCGGAGGAGGTAGGTAGGTAGGTAGGCAGGCAGGTGGGTAGATAGGTAGATAGGTAGGTAGGTAGGTAGGTCGGTAGATAGGTAGGTTGGTAGGTAGGCAGGCATGCAGGCAGCCCGGCAGGCAGGTAGCCAGGCAGGCAGGCAGTCAGGCAGGCAGGCAGGCAGGAATCCTCGCGTAGAGGATTGCATGTTGAGCCCGCGGGCACGAGTTGTTGAGCAGATGGTTTTACGGCCGAGGAGGCGGCTGCGTCGGCTCCGCAGCGTCCACCCAGGGAGACAGGGCAAGCTCGCCCGGGAGGGGGACGGAGGGGGAGGGCATGGGGACAGTCCGCGGCGACCCAGCCCGCTCCAGCCCACCTCGCAGCCCTGGCCTTCATGGATGAGCCGCAACCTGACCCGAGGAGCGGAAGCACGGGGGGAGGGGCAGGCCCGGGGAGAGGCTCCTTGCGGGCACCTCTCCGGCAGGGGCTCCCCGCACATGCTCTCAGCCGCCTCACGGCGACGCAGTGCGCAGCCGCGGGATAGGGAGAATGGAGGGAGAGAGGGACACCCCTAGGGGCAGGGCTGATTTGTGCCTCCTGTGGCCCTGCCCAGAGAGCCGCCTCTGCCTGCTCTCGGAAGGCTGCCGGCGCAGCTGCTTCGGCATATTAGCCTGCCGCTGGCTCAATAGCTGCCTGTCGCAGATCTCCTTGCCAGGCGGCGCCTCCTGGCCGCTCGCTTGCCAGAAATCTGGCCTGAGGGGACCATCCTTCGCGCAGGCGGCGAGCTCGTGAAGGGTGGGGCCGGTGACGCTGCTGCAGCAGATGCGGTACTGGCGGTGAGCCCACGAACGCACGCCTCCGACGTGGGTGAGACGCACAAGGCGGAGGCGAGAGTGCGCAAGCGCCCTCGGGTCCCGAAGCTCCCCCCAGCTTGTCCCAAAGGAGAAAGCGACAGCATGTTTGGCGGCTTTGGTGTCTTGGAGGTCTTTGGCCAGACCGCCCATTTCGCAAACTCTGCCTGCGACTACTGGGAGAAGTAGACAGGAGGAAGTAGCGAAGACGAGGAGGAGGGATGACGATGATGTGGTGATGATGGTGATGATGATGATGATGATGATGATGATGATGATGATGATGATGATGATGATGATGATGCTAATAATGATGACGATGATGACGACGATTACGTTTATGATGGTGGTGGTGTTGATGGTGGTACTACTACTAATGATGATGCTGCTGATGATGATGCTGATACTGATGATGATGATGCTGATGATTATGATTCTGATGATTGTGGTGGTCGTGATGATGCTGTTGCTGATAATGATGACGATGACGATGACGATGATGATGATGATGCTGACGATGATGATGATGCTGATGATGATGATAACGATGATGACGACGAACATGATGATGATGATGATGATGATGATGATGATGATTACGATGATGAGTATGCTTATGCTGATTCTGTTGATACTGTGGATGTTGATGTTGATGATGGTGATGATGCTGATGATGATGCTGATTGTAGTGATGATGGTGGGGGTGATGATGATGCTGATGATGATGGATGATGATTATGATGGTGATGATGCTGCTGACGATGATGATGCTGGTGATGCTGATGCTGCTGATGATGATGACTACGATGACGATGACGACGATGATGATGATGATTATGATGATGGTTATGATGATGATGCTGGTGATGCTGATGCTGATGATAACGATGCTGATGCTGATGATGATGCTGACGAACCTGATGATGATGATGATGATGATGATGATGATGATGATGATGATGCTGACGATGCTGATGATGATGGTGATGATGCTGCTGCTGATGATGATGAGTATGCTGCTGCTGATGATGATGGATGATGCTGATGATGATGCTGATGATGATAACCATGATGCTGATGATGTTGCTGCTGCTGATGATGATTCTAATGACGGTGATGAGGATGAAGATGATGTTGATAATGATGATGGATGATGATGATGATGATGATGATGATGATGATGATGATGATGATGATGATGATGATGGTGATGGTGATGGTGATGGTGATGGTGATGATGATGATGATGATGATGATGATGATGATGATGATGATTATGATGATGATGATGATGCTGCTGATGATGCTGATGCTGATGCTGCTGATGATGATGATGATGATGATGATGATGATGCTGATTCTGTTGATGGTGATGATGATGATGATGATGGCGGTGGTGGTGTTGGTGGTGAAGATGATGCTGATGATGCTGATTCTGATGCTGCTGATGCTGCTGGTGATGATGATGTTGATGATGATGATGATGCTGATGCTGATGCTGATGCTCATGATTATGATGAGTATTAAGAATGGGCAGAATAATCATAATAATGTCAAACATACTATTAATAAGAGTAATACTGCAAACAATTAAATTATACCATTACTAAGAATCGTAGTGATACTGTTCATAATATTCAAAGAAGACGCGCAATCATACGAATAATGGTACTCGTAATATGAAGAACATTATTCTTAAGAATACCAATAGTATTACTAATGAGAATGATAATGCTAATTCTAACAATAACCACAGTAATCATAATACGTATGAGAAGAATAATAGTACGAGCGCTCATAATAGTAATACGAATAAGAGTAGCAATGATACTAATCAGTGGAGGGGAGGAGGAGACGGAGGATGATGATGATGAGGAGGAGGAGGGAAAGAGGAGGAGGAGCGGGAAGAGGAGGAGGATGAGGAGGAGGACGAGCGGGAAGAGGAGGAGGAGAAGCAAAGGGAAGGAGGGAAGGAAGGAGCGAGGGAGGGCCGAAGGCGACCCGAGGAGGGGGAAAAGGACAGAGGGGGAGGAGGGGCAGAAGGAGGAGAAGGAGGCCGTAAGGGGATATGCAGGCAGGGCCAAACGCGACCCGAGGAGGAGGAGGAGGAGGAGGAGGAGGAGGAGGAGGAGGAGGATGAGGAGGAGGAGGAGGATGAGCAGGAGGAGGAGGAGTAGGAACATATCACCTTTCATCAAACAGGCTGGGCAGGTAGGCAGGCGCTGTCCCCTTGCTGGGCCGCGCGCGATTCACAGGAGGCCGAACAAGGGGCAAGCGGTGTTGACAGACACACACTGGTCCTCGACCCTCGCATCTCGATGCCCCCTCCGTCGCCCTCGCTCCTCCAGGGGACTCGGGTTGGCCACCGCCGACCCCAGGCCGCTGCCCGTCCGAGAGCCAGCAGTGCCCGTGGGCCCACGGCACCCACGAGCTGCAGAGGATCCGGGCGCAGCCGGGCGAGCTCGGCGGCGGAGAGCAGGAGGGGAGCGGGGCCGGCTGGGTCTCCGGAGGCTCTCGAACGGCCTTCTCCGCATCTCCTAACCTGCCCCCCATTCCCTTGGGGCCATGGTACGTCGGCCCCCTCGCGCCCACCTTCCCAGGCGAGGCCCCGCGAGGCCCGAAGGAGCAGGCGCACATCCCTACCCAGGAGGGGGAAGGGCCACGCCACTGAAGGCAGGGGTCGGTTGACGCGAGGTTAGCTTTCGCATATTTTCGGAAGCTTTCTGGGGTTCTCCGTATCCCACGTTGCTACTCTTTCCAGGCTTGGCGGTCGCTGGCACTGCGAACGAGAGCGTGTCAGAACTTTTGTTAAGTCGGGCGTGTCCCTCTACAGGAGAAATATTCCCAAAGAGTCATACTATGGGGACGATGTTTCCGATGTTTCGGGTATTTATCATTTTGATATGTATTTCTCGCCTAAAATCCACCTGCAGCAGGACATGCCCGACCTAAAACTACTGCCACGGGTGCCTGAAGCCTCTTTCCCGAAATCAGTCTTTGACTTTGATTCCTCCCCCTCCTCCTCGTCTTCCTCTCCTCCCCTCCCTTCTTCTCCTCCTCCTCTTCCTCCTGCTTATCCTCCCTGCTGCTCCTCCTCCTCCTCCTGCTTATCCTCTCTGCTCCTCCTCCTCCTCCTCCTCCTCCTTCTCCTCCTTCTGCTACTTCGGATTGCACGTCTGGGCTGCAGGCGTCGCCCTGGGGGCCTGTTCTAAGCGGCCTCTCTCTGCGGCTGCTCGCAGGTGAAGCGGCTCGCGAGAAGCTGCACCGGGATTGGTGGCACGACGTGCACGGTGCTCCCTCGTAGGTGTTGGGAATTTTGCTGGGGCTCTCGAGAGCTGGGCTGCTTTCCACCACCTGCGTTAGGTCGGGCATGTCCTCTTACAGGAGGGCTTTGGACGAAAAGGTCAGTATTGTCAAAACGTATCCAAGCATGTGTAACAAATTCTGGAAACATCGTCCCCATACTTCTTTAAACCAATATTTTTGAGTATTCCTCCTGTAGAGCGACACGCCCGACTTCACACCTGCGCGACGTCGAGAGCGCGACGTCGAGAGAGCGACCTGAGGGATGCCAGGGCTCGTCCCGCCCTGGCTCAGCCACGCGCAGAGGGGGTTGGGGGGAGGGGGGAGGGCTTCTTGGAAGCACCCCTGCTTCTTGGAAGGCGCGGGCCTTATCTACAGATGTAAGGCCGGCGCCATCCAAGAAGCAGCTTCCTTCTGAGAAGCCCTCCCCTCTCCCCCTATCCCCTTTCGTGTATAGCCAGGACCCCGGGTGAGGGGACCCGGTTAGTGGTAGGGCCCTGGGGCCCCTCAATTGGCCAGATTCACTAAACCAGGTTTGCCGCAACTGGTGTTTTTCGGGTGACGGCAGTTCCGGTTCGCGGAACGGGGCGGGGGGGCGCCCCCCGGTACACATCACTAAGCCAGGTTCCGCTAAACCCAGTTCTGCCAGCGCCCGACCCCTCTGCGCGCCGCCAGCTGGCCACCCACGGGACCCTCCCCCCAGGCCGTGGCCCCCGGAGGCCTCGGCGGGAGGGGGGCCCCCCGCCCGAGGGTCGGGGCCCGAGGGGCGGCGGGTGTCGGGCGATGGCAATCGGAGGGGGAAAAGAGGAGGAGGAGGAGGAGGAGGAGGAGGAGGAGGAGGAGGAGGAGGAGGAGAGGAGGAGGAGGAGGAGAGGAGGAGGAGGAGGAGGAAGGAGGAGGAGGAGGAGGAGGAGGAGGAGGAGGGAGGAGGAGGAGGAGGAGGAGGAGGAGGAGGAGAGGAGGAGGAGGAGGAGGAGAGGCGGAGGAGGAGGAGGGGGAGGAGGAGGAGGAGGAGGAGGAGGAGGAGGAGGAGGAGGAGGAGGAGGAGGAGGAGGAGGAGGAGGAGGAGGGAGGAGGAGGAGGAGGAGGAGGAGGAGGAGGAGGAGGAGGAGGAGGGAGGAGGAGGAGGAGGAGGAGGAGGAGGAGGAGAGGAGAGGAGGAGGAGGAGGAGGGAGGAGGAGGAGGAGGAGGAGGAGGAGGAGGAGGAGGAGGAGGAGGAGGAGCAGTTCGATGGCTTCCCTGGTGCCAGCGACTCGGACGACGACGACCTTGCCCGCGAAGCGAGGTGCTGGGCCGAGCAGCGTATCCGTCGCTGGCCGTGGTTTCTTGCAACTCTGCCTGGCACGCGTGCGGCTGGCCTCTGTCAGGTCAAACATGACGCCCGCCCCTGGCCGATCAGAGCGGAAGAAGCCGGCGCCCCTGCTGAGCCCCAGCGGCGCGGCCTTCGAGGCGCGGGGAGTTCCTTCCTCCTCCTCCTCCTCCTCCTCCTCCTCCTCCTCCTCCTCCTCTGGGGGCCAGCTGCGCAGATGTGCCGATCCTGGCCGTTTGCTCACCCCGCCGGGGGCCTGGCGCGAGCGCCCTGCGGCAGGCTCGCGCCGCGCCGGCCTGGCAGCGAGCCCTGGCGCGGGCGCTCCGGGGCGACAGCGTGGATCACGCGGGGGCCCCGTGGATCCCCGTGGCCGACCCAGCCTCGGGATCGGCACCACCCAAACGTCTCCTCGATTCCGTGATAGGGGGGGGGATGGTCACAGCCCTCCCAGGCGAGCAAATTCAGGCCCCTCCCCAGAGCAGCCACGGGAGGGCGGCGCTCTGCCCAGGTCCCGCGGGACCCCTCCAAGGCAGCTCGAATCAGACCCCCCCCCCTTCCCAAAGCAGATGTGACCCCCCCCCCCGCGGTATTGCGACACCGGGGCCGAGAACTCCTCTGGTGCAGAGGCTCCGTGGCAAGCGCTCGCTGGCCACGCCGCTCTGGAAAAAAAACGAGGTGCGGAAGGCCTGTGTGCTGACTGCTCGTCTCGAGCGTGCGCCGCCGGCATCGGCCCACGCTGCGAGCATGTCGTTCTCTGCGTCCCGCGGGAGTCGCGTGGAGCCACCCCCCCTTCGCCCTCTCGGGCCGGCGAAAGGGGGGGATTGGGAAAGGGGGGGTTACGAAATTTGCTGCATGCAGCTGGTTTGGGCCTCACCGAGGGGCCCATTCCTCGATACATAGCCGCTTCCTGCGCCGGGAGGCACCGGGAAAATCAGCTACGTGAGCTGATTCTCAAATCCCCCCTTTGCTATCCCCCCCCTTTCGCCCGACCCGACCCTCACTCGGCTGACCGGGGGGCCACTCTGCGGCCGTCCCGGGTTCGCGACGTGGCCTTGCCCGATGCAGGACCAGGCTGGCGCTGGCCCGGGGCAGCGCGTCCTTGACGAAAGCCGCCGGCGGCCTGGAGTCAGCCATTGTCGAACGGTCTGCTCTAATCTAGGCCTCCCAAATGGGGTCGGAGTAGATGGGGTCGGAGGATCGCGCCGCATCGCCGATGCATCGCCGATGCAGCTCGATGTGGAGCCCGATTTCCTTCACGTCGACGTCGCCGATGCATCGCCCACGTCGACGCCTCATCGCTAGTGTATCGCCGATGCATCGCCGATGCATCGGCGATGCGGCGCGGTCCTCCGACCCCATCTACTCCGACCCCATCTAGGAGCCCCTCTATTTATCGGCAGGCCGCGTTCGTTTTAGCTTGAGGGATCCACGCGGTGTCAGAGGCCAACGCCGGCGTCGTCGCCGACGTGGGCCTGCAGTCACGTGCCCTCCTGGCTCGGCCTGGGAAGTTTGCGCACCGACCCCAAGGGGCTGCCGCCTTCCTGGCGCCCTCCTGCGGGGAGAGGACCTTCGCCTTGTCAATCTCGTTCTCCTCCTCCCTCCTCCTCCTCCTCCTCCTCCTCCTCCTCCTCCTCCTCCTCCTCCTCCTCCTCCTCCTCCTCCTCCTCCTCCTCCTCCTGGGCTGCGTCCCGAGACCGCGCGTGCACTTCGGTGCTGAGTACTCCAGATTTCGTAATAAAAGGGAGGGGGGTCTCATTTCGGGGGGGGGGTCTCTTCCAGGCTATCTTGGAGGGCCTGGGGGGGTTTGGGGACGATGTTTTGGAGGGTTCTCCCACGGGGGGTGTCTAAAACTTCTCGTCTGGGAGGGTTGAGACCCCCTCCCTTTTATTACGAAATCTGGAGTAGACTGGGAGCTGCAAGCACAAATGGGATGGCGTGCGCCTGGTCCCCACGCAGTGTCGCGTCTTCCGGCGGCGGCGACGGCCGCGACGACGGTCCCGTCGCCGCGGCGTCGACGGCGGCGGCGGCCGTCGACGCCTGCGGCCGCGGCGGGCGACGGCGGCGAGGGCAGCGGCGGCGGTGACGGCGGCGACGACCGCGCTGCTGGCTCTGTAGAGTGCTCTTCGACCCGTTCGGTCCGATCGATTCGCTGTCGATTCCGGCCGGCTCGAGCCGATTCGGTGTCGACGTTCCGCAGATGGGGGGCCACATGCGAACCCTCCCCCCTACGCCAACAACTTCGGAGGGTGAGGGTGGGGTTCACTTCGCTCGGAAGCTCCCGAGCGAAGTGAACCCCCCCCCCCCCCCGAAATCGTGGGGGTAGGGGTAGGGTTCGCATGTGGCCCCCTAGCAGATCCGATGCGGCCCGATGCTTGCATGGCGCTGATGTGCACTCTGGTGCAGCCGATTCGATTCGATTTCCACTCCGTGCCGACACCGTTCGGCCCGAAGCACGTTCCGAGTCGATTCGATTTCCCGATTCGATCTTGTTTGCCTTTGTCTTCTCATCTGCCGAGGAGACATTCGTCCAATCTTTCTCTGACGGCCCTGGCAGAGTGTGAGGGGAGGGTCTCGCGGACTGCCTATCTGCGGTCGCCAGCGGGGACAGCGGGGACAGCTGCTTTAAGCTCGATGGCCGTGCTGGGAAGACTGGCAGCAGTAGGCTTGCACCGCCGCCACCCTCCTTCGAAAGACTCGAGGCTCCATGTTCGGGAATTGTTTCGACCATCCTCTCTGACGCTTCTTGATTCCCCGGGATGTCCCAAGACTGACTTTTTAGAGACACTGACATTTCTTAATGCTCCGCGTATTCCCACAAGCCAGCCACTTCCCCGGGCGGTAGGTCCTGCTTAGCTCCGCGCGCGCGCCGGCAAATAGTTCCGCTCGTAGCCCGAGCCGACTCGACGCGCCGCTGGCGCCTTCGCCTGCGGTTGCGACGAAACAGTATTCCCACAAGCTTTCGTAGCACGCTAGGCGTTCGACCCGTTTCGCGCACCCGCTAACCAACAAAAAAAATTGCAAGCCCATTCACGAACCCTGCCGATGAGAGTTGACGGGAAAAGGGACAACTAGACACATGTAGTGAAACAAAGCGGGCAACCCGGGTGAACAGAGAGATCTTTGGGAGCAAGGGGGTGGCATTGGAGGGCGTCTTCGGGCCATCCCTGGGGCCCGCGTGGGGGCAAGGGAAGGAGGAGGAGGAGGGGGAGGAGGGGGAGGAGGAGGGAGGAGGAGGGAGGAGGAGGAGGAGGAGGAGGAGGAGGAGACGGAGGAGGAGGAGGAGGAGGAGGAGGAGGAGGAGAGGAGGGAGGAGGAGGAGGAGGAGGGAGGAGGAGGAGGAGGAGGAGGAGGAGGAGGAGAGAGGAGGAGGAGGAGGAGGAGGAGGAGGGAGGAGGAGGAGAGGAGGAGGGAGGAGGAGGAGGAGGAGGAGGAGGAGGAGGGAGGAGGAGGAGGAGGAGGAGGAGAGGAGGAGGAGGAGAGGAGGAGGAGGAGGAGGAGGAGGAGGAGGAGGAGGAGGAGGAGGAGGAGGAGGAGGAGGAGGAGGAGAGGAGGAGGAGGAGGAGGAGGAGGGAGGAGGAGGAGGAGGAGGAGGAGGAGGAGTGGTGTGGAGTGGAGTAACCTAGAAGCGGACGAGCCAATGCCCCCGCCGCCCTAGGCCAACCGTGAGGACCCTCACGGCTGGAGTCGGCGCGAGCTCGCATAGGAGGTTTACCGCGGCGCAACGCACAAAAGGCGACGCGCGCCACTAAAGGCAGCAGCGCCGCGAAGCGCGGCAGACGTGCGAAAAAGGCGAGAGACGTACCCGCACGCGCGCCAGGGGCGCCACGTGCGCCAGGAGGCAGCAGCTAAGCCGGTAAACCGCTCTACAAGCCCGTTGTGACATTCCGAGGCCTCAGATAACGACACGCCTCGCGTGCCGCCCCGATCAGCCACCCGAGGGGCACCACTCCCTCGGCGACAGCCCGCCCCCACGCACGCCACGGCGGGGGACCGTGACTGTGGGAAGAATGGACGGGGATCTTCCGATGAGCCCTCCCGCATAGGGGACCTGCGACACCACCCTTGCCCCAGCGGAGTACTGGGAGGTCTACGCACAGGTGTCGCAGCAAAACGTGGCAGACCCACAACCCAGGCACGGAACACGGAAGGAAACGCCGCGCACTGAAGCCCTGGATTGCCCCCGCCCGCCACAAGGACGAGTCGGGCACAGCCCCGAGACCCCAGGCGCGACCCTTCGCCCATGGCGCAGGCTGGGACGGCCTACGATTACCTTTTTTCTTTCCCCCAGGGTCCCGAAGGAGCACCTGGGGTGACGAACAGGAGGCTACTCGCCTGTTTTCCTGGGGAGGGATCCCAGTGGCACAGGTGCCAGGATGATGAGGAGGAGAAGGAGAAGGAGGAGGAGGAGGAGGAGGAGGACGAGGAGGAGGAAGGCGGCGACGACGACGACCGCGACGACGATGATAATCCTCGAGCGGGCGCGTATTGAATCAGGGTTCAGGCATTCGCTTCCATGTGGGAAGTGTACCATCCTCGGGCGGGCACGCGTGGAATGGGAGGTGCAGGCATTAGCTGCCATGCGGAACGTGCTGCCATGCTGGAAGTGCATCCTCGAGCGGACACAAGGGAAGTGGCCTCGGAAAGAAGGGCGATGCGCGCAAGAGTCTGCGGGTGGGGAAAATGAGTATCCTTCATTCGAGTTCAAAGTGGTCTATTCGATAGGCCTAGGCATTCTTCCACGCATCAACGTACCATACGGATTCCTGAGTGTATATATACACACACACACTCAGTTATGTGTGTATAAATGTATATTTGCAGTTGTACATCACATATAGATGCACACGGCTGTATTCTTTGTACATGTTCGCCCCCCCCCCCCCTGGGGACCCCACCGTGAGAGAGAGAGAGAGAGAGACACAAGAGGACGTGGAACATAAAGCGAGAGCGAGGGAGAACGAGAGAGAGAGCGAGAGAGAGTGTGTGTGTGTGTGTGTTTGTGTGAGACAGGGGCGGAGAGATTGAGAGAGGAAAAGTCAGAGAGAGAGAGAGAGAGCGAGAGAGAGAGAGAGAGCGAGCGAGAGAGAGAGAGAGAGAGAGAGAATGCGAGAGCGTGCTTCTTTCCTTGTCCCATCAACTCAAGCTGACTCCTTATCCTTGTTCACCCTTCTCTCTCCTTCCTCATCTTGCCAGCAATAGGAAGCAATGGTACTTCTTCACACGCTCTCTCTCTACATGTATATGCATATCTCACACCCCTTCCGTGTTTCCAACGGAACCAATCAGACATTGTCGACACTAATCACAATCAAACACACAGATGGGTTGAGCCGTAGCCTCACTGCATCAACATCTGAGGGTGCATTGCATCTCACTCCTAAACTCTAGAGGTTTGGGTGTTCCAAGGCCTCCTTCCCTCCGCTTCCCTTCCCTCTTCCTCCCTCCTTCCTCCCTCCTACTCCGCGCCTCCCTCCGCGTCCACGTCTCATTCCACTCTTTCCCCACCTCCCTAAAGAGAGAATGAGCGAGCGAGGGCGAGGGAGTGAAGGAGCGAGAGATCGAGCGAGAGAGAGAGAGAGAGAGAGAACGTGCGAGAGAGGGTTGGAGACACGCAGGGAGGGCACACGAGAGAGAGAGAGAGAGAGAGCGAGAGAGAGAGTGAGAGAGTGAGAGAGTGAGAGAGTGAGAGAGCGAGAGCGCATGAGAGGGCCAGAGGAAGGGAACGAGAGAGAGATAATCAGAGGACGAGAGGGGGGGGGAGAGAGAGAGAGAGAGATAATGAGAGAGCGAGAGAAGAGACACGCACTGGGTTATACTAGCTAATCAAAAGAAGTATTTACATCGGAAGCTCTGAACACTTGAACGCATTAAGCACGCCACACATCCAACCACACTCGAAGTTACACATACAAGAACACCTGAACCCACCAAGAACCCCACATATTTGAAACAGGAAGAGGAGGAACATAAACTGGAATCCAATGAGGGCAAGGACGATGCCGAGGACGAGGAGGAGAAGGAGGACAACAAGGACGAGGACCGAGCCCTCAAAGTCGCCTCTTGGAGCCCTCTTGGGGCTCATGTGGGGGAACTTGGGGACCTCTTGGGTCTCTTTTAGAGGGTCCTGGGGCCCTCTTGGGGCTCTCTTGGAGCCCTCTTCGGGCCATCTTGGGGCCATCTTGGGGGACTGGGAGGGCATCTTGGGGCCATCTTCGAGGGCATCGATCAAAGGGGGTGGGTCCCAAAGGTGCCTCCCCCCTGGGGCCATCAGCATCGTCTCTTGGGGCCCTTTTGGAGCGCTCTTGGGCAGCCCTTGGGCGAAACTATAAGGGGAGAAAACACACATCATGGATTTCCGTTTCAGGATTGGGATGGTTTTGGCCTTTTTGGAAGTTCTTCATGGCCCAAGAAAAAAACGACTTCTGTTCGCCGCAGCCGCCGCCCAACCGATTGCGGCCTCTGTGAAGATTGCGGCAATAAGAAGGACAACTGCACGTGCGATCGATCGCGGAGCCGTGGGAAGGACGGAGGAGGAAAGAGTGCGCTGAGCAAGGAAGCCGAATCCATCATCGCGGCCATTAACAAAAACACGAACGAGAAGATAGAGCCCATCGGAACGAACATGAATAACCGCATGCACAACATGGACGCGACCATGCAGGCCACTGATTCAAAGGTTACAGATCAGGGAACACGACGTGAAGCCCTTGAACATGCATTTCAACAGCTGAAGGCCAACGGGACTCAGAGGAACAGCAGCTTCGTTAACGGCAGCTTCGTCCCCAAGAACAAGCGCACCAAGGTGATCGTGGGCGGCTTTGGGGAGAGTGCGAAGAAGGCCGAGGTGGAACTCAAGCTTCAGGACATCGTGAAGGACTGCGACCCAGATCCGAGGGTATCGGCATCCTGCAAATTGTCCCAGGTGGGCTTCATGGATTTCCCTACGCCCGACAGCATGTGGCAGTTTCTCATAAAGCACAAAGGGCAGAACTTCGAGTTCAACGGGAGGCGCCTTTCACATTGGATCGACAGGACGAAGGAGGAGAGGAGCATCGGGAGGCGCACGTCCAAGGCGGTCAACCTCTTCAGGAATCACGTGGTGGACAAGATGGGCGTTGCCCAGGGCAAGTCCAAGACGGTCATTGACGCCGACTGGGACAAGGGCGTCGTGTGGTACGAGCCGGCTGCTGGGAGTCCTGTCCGCCTTTACGACTGCAAGCGGGACTCCCTCACCTTCCGCGTCGCGGACATTGCGGCTTCTTCGGGGTTGAACTTCGATTTCGGGGGGAATTTGTTGGCGATCAACGATTGATGCCAGCATGGATCTTGCGAGGTGGAAGGGAAGTTGCACACTCTGTCGTGGAATGTCTCGGGTATCGCGGGCTTTGATGGGGGCGATTTCTGCCAGCAGTTGGAGACGGATGCACTTTGGGATGTGCTCTTGCTCCAGGAGTTCAGTTTCACCAGCATTAGCAACGAATTCGAACAGACTTCCGTCGGCCACGCGGTGTTTGCACAGCCTCCAAGAATGGGGCAGCGACGCGCGGTGATCGTCGTGCACGCCCGGGTAGCGCTTTTGATCCGCCTGGAATATTTTTGATCATTGGGGAGATCTTGTTGTTTGCATTTGGTTTGGCATGACTGGGCCCTCCGGGTGGTGAT